GGAAAATGAAAAAAAATTAAAATAAATTTGGGATTTCTTTTTTCAACAACAGTAAGTTAAGGGTCCTCTGATAGGTTAGGTGGGCAGGAAATTCTCATAAAGTTTCAAAACGTTATGAAAAACGTTAATTTAAAGTGTCCTCTTATAACCTCTGCGCCTAAGCCGGCCGACTCAAATAGAAAACGGAACAGAACGTCACTTTTGTGAGTCGATTTCATTTCAAATTACGTCCAAATTTAGCCATATCGCGCATACTAGCCAAAAGTGACGTTCTTTTTAAGAGGACGGGTTGTACCGATGGACGAAGTGACGAGGAGCTGCTTAACTTGCGCGAGCAGGAAACGGTCCAACCTGTGAGTGGGGAGCTGCTTCACGTTGAAAAATATACACCTTGGTGGGACGGTGTAGAATGTGATCAAAGTAAAGCCGCTGGTGAGAATAATAACAATAAAAATACGAAAGGGACAATTGAAACACAGGCCGCCCAGGAAAATGACTCACAGGACACACAGTAGTAGGCATCCATCAGTCTCAGGAGACTATGGAGTTGCCCTTTGGTTGTCGGTCTGGAGTGGCCTCTCCTTTGCGCCCCGGAGAGACTTAAACCCTTAAGGAAACAGACCAGGTAATGAAAGATAAAGGTGTAATTTCGTTGATTCTTTTTCCGTGGGTGTTGGGGGGGGGGGGGTTTAGTGTGATGTGTATTTTGAGTATTTGATTTTGTTACACTCCTATTACAAAGCAGCAAATTTTAGGCGACAATATGAGTGACTACAGGGTCGCAGTAGGCGGCTGTGTTATACCCGTCCTCAGATCAAGTCATTCCATCCAGTGGTCGACCCCTAAGACACATTCATCAATTTTAACATGCTGTTCATCGAAAAAATGAATTTTCTCAAATATAAATTAATATTGTTAAATATTAGCATACTGTGCATATTTAGGCACTGGTTAGGTTAGGTGTTTGGGTTCTGTTGGCGATTATTTGTATATTTGTAGTACGTGGGTGAAGCATTTACAGCGTTGTGGTTCGAACAAAAGTCGTCAGCGAAGCACTTGCAATTGCAAGTTGAAGAGTTGGCTTTCTTGCACTGCCCTCCGTTTTAGTAAGAAGACAGTAATTTAGTAAGACTTTAGTAAGAAGATGTTTTAGCAAGTTTTTTTTGTCCGAAACGTTAAGCGTTCTAGAGGCTTTACAAGAATGTAAACTCAACTTAATTTCTGTATTCTCTGTTAACCCGCCAATGTACCTTCTTGTATATAAATAAATACATAATAAATAAATAAATAAGAAACACGCCAGAACATAAGCTAGGGGGATAATTAAAGTAATTTAAAAGTACAAAATGTTCAAAGTTCAATTCCCTCCCATTTTCTCTCATATACTCCCCAGACCTTCCCCCCCCCCATCCCCATCCCCCGTTACCCCCATGACACGAGTACAGCGTCTGGGATGCTCTTGAACGCAGGTTCGAATCCTCGTCACGGCCCTTGTGGATTTGTTTACAGCGTCAGTGTATAGGAGCATATACTGAAAAGAGTGGGTGGTAGGCAACTTCCCTGTGGTACTCTACTTTTCCTCTTGTCTATCAAGCTGCATAGTGTGGCAGCAAATTTCTAAGGAAGCTCTAGTTCAGATATCTTGTATTTTAGGCTGGTATGCCAGACTCTGTCAAGAAAAAATCAGTGGGAGCCATTAAGAGGATTCGAACCCGCACACTTGGTGCTCTCAAGCACACTTTATACACCACGTTAATGCGATTTCACTGTGCATTTGTCGAGAGCTTTCAACACATCTGAGCACTGCAGTACTCTTTTTCCAACATGGCAAACAGGGACATTGGGGTAGATGTTCCTATACACGGTTGCTGATTTCAATTGCTCTGTGAGGAATCCAACTTCGTACATCGTGTTACATTATTTTTAGTGACTGGATGGCTTTGTTAAAGTAATTATCAAAAGAAGGCACCAAACCGGGAAGGGTATGTAGCACATGACTTTGTTAAACTCTTAGGTTAGTTGCATCTTGTGGAGTGTGAAGCATCCATCACACGTCACTACACTTGCTACTGTCCATGTGTTGGGTGGTTAGATGGCTCGTGGTGAGATGGTTTGATATTATCAAGTTGTAAACAATAGTCTTAGTCTTCGTGGGAGGTTTGTGTGTAAATTTTATTCTACCAGTTTTCACAACATTTTGAAGGTCTGTTATGTCTTCCAGGCGGGTCTCTGTGTCAAGAACAACAACAAATGAATCTTGTCGGCTAGTAAAGGATTCCTGGATTTTTGTGTCACTCTCTTTGTGGTTAATTATGTCATTATCTCCTATTCTGAGGTCATCCTCACTGTTATTGTGGTGATCCGAGAGGGGGAATGATTTTGGTGGTGCTTGTACTATTTTGGTAGCGAGTGGTACTCGTTCGCGCCTCCCTACCCTTCCCCCGCGGCTGCTGAACACACCGGGCGAACTATCTGCGCCTTTTTCTGACTGAAAAGGGAAAACAGCTGCGTGTCCACCTGGTTAAAATAGGTCGCTTTTTACTCGTGTTTCAGGAACCAGCAAAGAAATGACCAAGACACTCTCAAGGTTTCAAATATAATTTGCTTTCATTTTTCACTCGGGAATGACCTTTGAGATGATGAACGCCTGTTTAGTAAGCAGGTTGTTTAGTGTTGTAACAGTCATCATCAATACTGTGTTGCCTTGAGGCAGATTAATCATCAAGACTGAATGGAACTCAGTCTTGATGATTAATCAAGACTGAGTGGAACTCGTGCGCATCCAACACATCATTTATTGAAGTATTGACCTTAACTCTGGTGTCTTACCGTAGTTCCCCCCCCCCCATAAATGCATGGGGGGGGGGGGTAATGCGTGCAATTACCGTCACCGGAAACATCACCCACCTGTCCACTTCACGCGCGCCCCATCCACGATCCACCACACACCACACCACACCCACACCACACCCACACCACACACCCACACCACACCCACACCACACACCCACACCACACACTCACACCACACCCACGACCACTCTCCATGTTCTCGTTCGCCGACCTTCACCGCTCCTCCTGTTTCTGATTTACGCTCTCTGATCCTATGTTGTCTGATCCTCCTATCCTTCTACACTCTCGGGTCCTCTGTAACACCGTAAAGGTGTTTTGTTTAGTTTTATTTAATATATACATATAGTTCATGAGTTTCGGGTAGCCGATCAAGATACGGCGCCTTGTAGTCATAGCACCTAGGTAATCGAATACGTAGGTTACAAGGTGTTGAACGAGAGAGGTTGCCATAGGAACTCTGGAGGTGCTCTAGAATAGTTAGCTAACTGAGGACGGGATAACGGACTAGAGAGAGCTGTTTCCCCTGGCCTCGTTAGTTAACTGGGGGGTGGAATAATGGACTAGAGAGAGCTATTTCCCCTACCCCCCCCGTTACACCTCTACGATCTGATCCCTACATCTGGTCTTAGGCTCACCATACAACCCATATAACCAACCCTTATAACAACATAATTAACCCCTGTAACCACATAGCTAAGCCATACACTCCACAAAACCAATCAATACTCTGCATAGAACCACATAATCAACCAATTAACTCCATACAACCACATAACCAACCTATTAACTCTATACAACGACATAACCAACCAATTTACCCACCTAATCAACCCCCACACACACACACATAACACACTCATTAAGGAATACACCCACACAAATCACCCAGCGTCCGTGCCACTGTTAGCTAGGTAATCACCCCCATCCCTGGCACACCTATCCTGACGCCCACCAGCACCACCCATCCTCGGAGACCTTCGCCCAGCACTGCCGCTGGAGAGCCACCTGGTAGCGCGGGTCGTCAACTATGTCCTCCAGCGGAGCTTATCGAGAGTGACACTAAACACCTCAGCCCCGGAGCGCCCAGTCAGCTCCCAAGTCTCCCGGAGTGCGCACTATACCGCTACGCGCAGACCCTCGAACTCACTTCGTTAAGAGCACGCGGCGTTCTTTCTCAGCGTGAAGCACATCTCTCTGCATTTATCTTCCCGCCAGCCTTCTGCGCACGAATCTTGTTTGCGACTGTTGGCGACGTCTGCTGGTGGTTTCGCGAGATTTTGTATTTTTTTAAATTAGTAACTGATTCACTCAAAGTCGAGTGCGAGCTGTGACTTGTTTTTGGAAACTATGGAGATGAGAATGTGGAGGAGGAAGCTGCTGGTTGTCCTGGCCATCTGCGGCCTGACTCTGGCGGGGTCGGAGACCTTCCTGCAGGTGAGTACCTTCAGTAGTTTAGATTTAGATGTTATTGAATGTTTACTTCAAAATCATACGATGAATAAGTTTCTGCAAATTTGTGTCGATTTCGTCATAATAAGGTCACTGATTGGGACACCTTTGGCAACGATGTTCTCTGACCGGGCCACCGACCTGCCCTCACATAGTCCGCTGACCTAAACTTACAGAGTCCCTCGATGCGATGCAATTATCAAACGACACTATCAATACCGGCTATGTCCTTGTATGATCGTATGCTATACACATACACAAGGTGGAGCTGTAGTGAAAATACAGCAGAAATCACAAAGTTTGAGTGTATACTCCCTGTACCGCCTTCACATCATCAAACTGTATTAAAATAGAGTAAAAGAGCCGTAATTAGGAACAAAACACGCCCCAGGTATTATGATCACGTGAGACACTTGTCACTGAAGGACAAGTCTGCTCTTAAGTCTAGGGGAGCTTCTTAAGTCTAGGGGAGCTTCTTAAGTCTAGGGGAGCTTCTTAAGTCTAGGGGAGCTTCTTAAGTCTAGGGGAGCTTCTTAAGTCTAGGGGAGCTTCTCCAAGTGTTCCAGACACACACCCCAAGAATCGGTGGAACGGTGCTGGGATCGATTATTAAGATCTAGAGGTCGACAGGGGATTGATTAAGACTTGGAGTTGATTAAGGTCTAGGGATTGATTAAGGTCTAGGGATTGATTATAGTCTAGGGGTTAATTAAAGTCAAAGGTCGATTAAGGCCTAGGAGACGATTAAGGTCTAGGAGCCGATTAAGGTCTAGGAGCCGATTAAGGTCTAGGAGTCGATTAAGGTCTAGGAGCCGATTAAGGTCTAGGAGCCGATTAAGGTCTAGGAGCCGATTAAGGTCTAGGAGCCGATTAAGGTCTAGGAGCCGATTAAGGTCTAGGAGTCGATTAAGGTCTAGGAGCCGATTAAGGTCTAGGAGTCGATTAAGGTCTAGGAGCCGATTAAGGTCTAGGAGCCGATTAAGGTCTAGGAGTCGATTAAGGTCTAGGAGCCGATTAAGGTCTAGGAGCCGATTAAGGTCTTGGAGTCGATTAAGGTCTTGGGGCCGATTAAGGTCTAGGAGTCGATTAAGGTCTAGGAGCCGATTAAGGTCTAGGAGTCGATTAAGGTCTTGGAGCAAATTGAAGAGGGCAACACAGTAGGGCAAATTAGGTTACTTACCAGTGAAGACACAATCGCATCTAGAAATACTGCAACTGCCGACTCACTGAGAGAGAGGAGCACCCTCCCAGAGTACCATGGGAACCCACTGCTCGGGACACAAATGTCCCAGACATGGGACCTCTATTCCTCCAAGCGTCAGAGGTATACAAAGCCATCATGTGATTTCCACCAGTCTCAGCAGAGGGGATACACTGGAGTAAGACCTCAGCACCTCAAGGAGATGGTAAACCCAGTTCTCGGAGTTGCCGTGACACTACTGTCAGAGGTCACGAAGTTTGTCAACGACTGCCTCTCTGGGCTGATCCCAGATACAATTAAACCCTTCTTCTTCGGGGCATCCCTTTGTGCCCTTAAGAAGAAGGATGGTGGAGTCAGACCCATTGCCGCGGGTAACACACTTCGGCGCCTTGTTGCTAGGGCAGCTGTCAGAAACATCCTCACGGAAGCTGCAACGATGCTTCGACCCCATCAACTAAGTTTTGGATTCCCCCATGGCCGTGAAGCAGCAGCTCATGCAGCGCGAGCCTATATTAATCACCTCCCAGAAAATAAGGCATTAATTAAATTAGACTTTAAACATGTTTTCGACCAGGTAAAAAGGGATGTGGTACTGGAAGCAGTTCGAACAAACTTTTCTTGTCTACTTCCCTTCGTTTCAGCAGGATACAGTAGGGAATCGACGCTGTTGTTTCATTGGTTGATACATCTGGTTCCTGGACGATGGCGCTCTGGCAAGGACACAGGAATCCCTTCTAAAGGATGGTAAAATCTAATGGATAGGAGTTAGGACTCACCCTAATCCATTAAAGTGCGAAATCATCTCATCTAACCAACCAATCATAGATACAGTAAAAACCGTTTTGCCAGAAGCCCCAGTGATCGCTCCCACCAACAGTGTGGTGCTGCTAGGGGCACCTCTGGGCTCGAGTGCCATTGAGGTAATCCCCGAAGAAAAGCTGAACGACCTCAGAAGGATGGAGTAAAAAATAGGAGCTTTCGATGCCCACGATACTTTCTACCTCCTCACAAGTGGCCTGGCTCTGCCCAGACTTACATAATTCCTAAGGTGTGCTCTCTCCTTCGACAGTCCAAAATTAACAGAATTAACTCACACCTAAAATCAATAACCATGAAAGTGTTAAACCTCTCCCTAAAAGATGACCAATGGGACCAAGCAATGCTCCCAGTTGGACTTCGGTTCAACTGGGTCGGCGTTTGATCCCCTGATGGTTCAAGCGGTTGGGAACTGTTCTTTCACTCCAGTAATATATTTCGTCCGTGGTAAATAGTCATAGTGACTTAGAGCTTTCTCCTCATAAGAACGTTTATCCTAACATAGAAACGCGGAATCTAACACCTATCACGTCTACATTCGAATTTTATCTCCTCTAAACTTGTCTAAACTACCTTATAATTTCTCTAATGAAAGTGGTGTGTTGCTCAGTCCCCGGAGATACGCCAGGGTTACTGTGTTCAAGGAAGAATGATGTTGACTTTTCTCACTAGGGAAGGCCGGGGTATTACCTCTCGCAGGCATCGAGAATTCTGTCTCAGTTAACCCAACCTATCTCCTTGATTTTAGTCAGTGAAATAAAGATGCTTGTGTGTGTAACCATGTCCCAGACTGACGCTTGCGGCCGTCGTGTGCTGCGTCTATGTACTAACACATGGCACTTTTTGGTCTACTCTATTTTAAAAGTAGACTAGTGGGGGGTTAGAAAAACAGAGATGACAGAGAGAGGGAGATTAGGAGAGAAGGGGACGGGGAGAGGAGAGGGGGAAAAAGGAGAGAGAGAGACCCGGACACAGCCGGCTCTCCCGCCCCCACCCCCCCCCCCACCCCCACCTTAAAAAGACTGGGGGGGGAGGGGACATAAACTGGGTTCTATCGCCCACACTACCAGTCTGGATTCAAAGCATATATTGCTTAGCGTCACAGTTATAACTCATTTGCAAAACACAGGTACACATACGCTCACTCAGGCTATCACTCACAGGTTGACAGCTTCACTCAGGCTATCACTCACAGGTTGACAGCCTCACTCAGGCTATCAACACTGAGGAACCAGACACCCACGAAAAGACAGTTTCCCCGGAATCACTGAAGTGGGAGGACAGAAAGTGCGGGAGGCCAGGAGCTACAACCACCTAAACAACAACAAAATACCTAGACAAAAACATCACAAGACCAGAGTTTGTATAAACTTCCTCCAAATGAGAGAAAATTTACGGGCTCACCATAGCCCGTGCTACATGGACACTTCGTTCTGAGTAGCTAAAGCTAAAACAACAACAACAGAGACCAAACGTGCCAAACGCTTGGAACGAAGTTCACGGTAATGGGAGACAGCAAGCCCTCTCAAACAGACTGGGTGCCTTCACAACCCTTCCACTGCCGCCCACGGTGCGCGGACTGGGAGGCATGCATGAGTATTGGGAGCACGATAATATATTGCAACAAATGCACAAACAAAAGTATCTAACAAATTTAGCTGACATATTTGAAGATCCGAGTCACAGTTAACACTCGATGAACTTCGTTAGTCTAAGCGGGTGTATCTTAAAAGCGCTACGTCTAACGAGGGGACAATTCTCTGACGGTTTCTGGGGCCTCTGGCGGTGTCTGGGGGTCTCTGGCGGTGTTTGGGGGTCTCTGGCGGTGTCTGGAGGTCTCTGGCGGTGTGTGGGGGCCTCTGGCGGTGTCTGGGGGTCTCTGGCGGTGTTTGGGGGTCTCTGGCGGTGTCTGGAGGTCTCTGGCGGTGTCTGGGGGCCTCTGGCGGTGTCTGGGGGTCTCTGGCGGTGTTTGGGGGTCTCTGGCGGTGTCTGGAGGTCTCTGGCGGTGTTTGGAGGTCTCTGGCGGTGTCTGGGGGTCTCTGGCGGTGTGTGGGGGTCTCTGGTGGTGTGTGGGGGTCTCTGGCGGTGTGTGGGGGTCTCTGGCGGTGTCTGGGGGTCTCTGGCGGTGTCTGGGGGTCTCTGGCGGTGTTTGGGGGTCTCTGGCGGTGTCTGGGGGTCTCTGATGGTGTCTGGGGGTCTCTGGCGGTGTCTGGGGGTCTCTGGCGGTGTTTGGGGGTCTCTGGCGGTGTCTGGGGGTCTCTGATGGTGTCTGGGGGTCTCTGGCGGTGTTTGGGGGTCTCTGGCGGTGTCTGGGGGTCTCTGATGGTGTCTGGGGGTCTCTGGCGGTGTTTGGGGGTCTCTGGCGGTGTCTGGGGGTCTCTGGCGGTGTCTGGGGGTCTCTGGCGGTGTCTGGGGGTCTCTGGCGGTGTTTGGGGGTCTCTGGCGGTGTCTGGGGGTCTCTGATGGTGTCTGGGGGTCTCTGGCGGTGTTTGGGGGTCTCTGGCGGTGTCTGGGGGTCTCTGGTGGTGTCTGGGGGTCTCTGGCGGTGTTTGGGGGTCTCTGGCGGTGTCTGGGGGTCTCTGGCGGTGTCTGGGGGTCTCTGGCGGTGTCTGGGGGAGGGAGGGGGGAAGTCTCAGACCATCACAGACACAACAACCATCATCGGGCCACATCCGATGTGATCTTCTGACGTGTGAACACACGTCAGAAGAAACTGGCCAGAAACCTGTCCTCCTACACAGAACGTCGCTTTTCGTTCGTATGCGTTACACAAGGCCAAAAATTGTCGTTCTAGAAAATGGAAGCGGCTGGCGAAAGTGACGTACTGTCCCGTTTTCTGTTTTGGGTCCTCTGGCAGGTTAGGAGAAGACACTTTAAATTGACCGTTTTCTTGACTTTGGAAAACCTTAGGAGGACGGGCTTGTTACAGTGTTTGAATCATTATGAATATATCTATAATTCCTTTTGTCTAAGACAGGAAGCCTGAGTATATATGCACTTCAGGATTTTATCCCCCCCCCCATGGACGAACTATCTTGAGGTTATCTTGAGATGATTTCGGGGCTTTAGTGTCCCCGCGGCCCGGTCCTCGACTAGGCCTCCACCCCAAGGAAGCAGCCCGTGACAGCTGACTAACACCCAGGTACCTATTTTACTGCTAGGTAACAGGGGCATAGGGTGAAAGAAACTCTGCCCATTGTTTCTCGCCGGCGCCCGGGATCGAACCCGGGACCAAAGGATCACAAGCCCAGTGTGCTGTCCGCTCGGCCGACCGGCTCCCAAACGAAACTACCCCACAGCAGCGCCCTAACTCATGGGGGTCAAGATTTACTCCAAGGTGAACGGAGGCATTGGATGAAAGGAAACATGCCTAAACATTTTTGTCCCGCCCGGGAAGCTAACTCGGTATCCCTCCCCCCCGAGTGTGAGGCGAGAACGAAGCCAACTGTAACACCAGACCCCTAGTATTATCTCTTAGGAGCCCTGTATTGCCGCAGCACCCTACTTGCCCCGCTCTTGTGCCAGGTAAGGTACGGGCTCACCATAGTCCGTGCTACTTGGAACTGTTCCGAGTAGCTGAATCTATAACAACAACAACAACAACAAACATTGCCGCAGCACCACAGCCTCGGGGCACAGCGGCGCGGGCAGACGCTGTTGGGCACAGGCAAATCTCAACTCGTTTTAGGTGCGTTTGTTTTGTTTCCGTTTTCCATGAAGTTGTCCGGAGACTGGGCGGCGGGACTCGGCCCACCGCCAGCGACCTTCACCGCTGCTTTCCCCAGTGTGCGCCAACTGGAGCCCCCTCACTCAGGCGTGGTCTGGTCCCCCCTCCTGTTTCCTGCAGGAGGTGCAGGAAACAGGTCGCTGGTGCTGCACCCAGCACAGCTTGTGCAGCTTGTAGACCTTACACAGCTTGCACAACGTCCACAGCTTACTCTCAACTTCCCCATCCATTTGTCAAGTGAATATCGCGCTTTTAAGCAGCATTTTTATTCCGTAAAATACAATCGATTTTTTTTTAATGATTTTAATATATAAGAAAGGGAGTACCACCTCTGGCTGGAAGAAGGGGGACCCATAGCCTCGGAGGGTCCCATCGATTTTTCTTTAATATATATTCCTAGTTTGGAATGATGTTAACTTTCAAATATTTCGTAAGGAAGTGCTACGATATCTAGGCAGTAGCTAAGATATCGTAGCTAAGTCCTAACGCTAAGATGATCGTGTGATTCTGAGAGTCGTTCCCGGAATTATCGCTTGCTTCGTTAGTCTCATTGACGTGGCGCTAACTATAGCATGCTATGAGGTATATTGTTACACAATCAAGCCACAATAACGTGACATATCAACGGCGCGCGTCTGAGAGGACCCGGGACGCTGGTTCGATGCCCGTCGCTGCTCCACAGACATTACCTCTGCGTTGGTTCCGGGGTTGGAGGTCCCCCGCGGCCCGGTCTCAACCAGTACTTACTAATCATTATTTTCTTTCGTTTCATACTGTTACATATCGTATGGTACAATGTCAGAAAATGTCCTGTAGCCCAGTACTCTACTTGGGGTGGACGGTAGAGCGACGGTCTCGCTTCATGCAGGTCGGCGTTCAATCCCCGACCGTCCAAGTGGTTGGACACCATTCATTTTCTCTGTCCAATCCCAAATCCTTATCCTGAACCAACTTATCCAAGTGATATATAGTCGTAATGGCTTGGCGCTTTCTCCTGATAATTCCTAATTCCAGCACTCTACATCCTCGGCTCACAACCGAGGGACGCAGTTCGATCCTCAGGCAAGACAGAAACGACTGACAGACGCTTTCTTTCATATGATGCCTCTGTTCACCCATCGCTGTTCAATTGTTGAGGGTTACATCCTGGAGAAGGTCAATAGCTATCTTAAGGCCTTAGGTGGACCTTGATAAGTCTAAATACAGACTTCTTGTCCCTGAAAATAAAAATTAATACCAATAGGTTGAGAGCAACTTTTTTTTTTTTTGCAGGGATATTCCTGCGCGGGTCCTAAGCCTCTGGCTGGCCCACTAAGTGTTGCTTGTTTCTGTTTTACTTGGGCGGAGTATGAGTATTTATGACTCGTATGGTCGCTGACAGCAACAGTGACTTTGACTGCTGCCACACTGACCTCTCTCCAGCTAATTACCCAAAATAGCACCATTTCGTTCGAGGTAGTTATCTCACGGTGTCAATTTTCACTCAAATTCACCCACAAACTCCTGCGAGAGTGAAATACTTTCACTCAGCGGCATAAACTTGAGTGATATACAGAGCCTCCGCATTCAAGAGCAGATCAAGAGGAATCAAATTATTGTCTCAAGCTGACGAAAACTTTCTTAAAGGTCGCACTCAAGCGTGTAGCGTACAATCCTCAGCTTGATCTCCTGCTTGACGTACGACTAACTGACATGTCTCAGGGCCTTCAACACTGACATGTCTCAGTGCCTTCAACACTGACATGTCTCAGTGCCTTCAACACTGACATGTCTCAGTGCCTTCAACACTGACATGTCTCAGTGCCTTCAACACTGACATGTCTCAGTGCCTTCATTTTGATGACTGTTGCCGCTGGATACCGTTACGAAGGCTTGCTACCATAGTCACGTACTGACACCCTTACTGTGTGTGTGTGGATCAGCTGTGTCCAGCCAGAGGCGCGGGCAAAGGTATATGTTTATTTAGCCCAGTAGGTCTCCAAGTCTCAGACCATGCTGCGCTCCTCTCTTACCAGCGACCCGTATACTTTCCATCATATTTATAGTGGGGGATATCGTCCCCTCACACTTGTTTCCGTACGATGCGTTAATATCGCACTTTTTGTTTTGAAACGCCCCGGGCCTCTGCACAGAGACAAGTTTCTTCTCAAAATTTTGTCAGAAATAAACGCTATTTATTCGTGTTTACTTTATGTCACAGATCTAGAAAGATTTAACAATAATTTACTGCATTATTTCAGGCAACAAAACTACATTAAACTATAAAAAAAAACATTTCTTTTAACCTGAGAAAGATGTGCAGTCCGCAACAGCCGAAGAATTTAACGGGAATCAATGGTTGGTAACAATTTTACAAACTAGTGATTAATTAGATGTTAACCTAACCTTGTTCCATGTGTGTATGTGTCAAAAACCTCTCTCCCAAGCTCGGAGTAAGAGTATGGGGGACCCGTGACCTGTTGCTCCCCACACACAGACGTCTCCCAAGTGGAGCAACTGGCCAGAAAAGTCCCACCCACCTTAGAAAACACACCAACTTGGCGTCCACACCCACTTTAGAAAACACAAACACCTTAGAAAACGGAATGGGGAAACTGGAGATTGGTGACACCGTTTTCATTGTTACCTGTCATTGGGTTCAGTGCAGCGTACAGTGTTGCCTAAACCTGTAGTTTATGGCTCTAAAACTTCCATGCTTCCTAAACAGGAACTTTGGGTGTTAAAGTTGCATAGTTCATGGAACTTGGTACGAGTTTGTTAGTACTAATACTCACTAATTGGTGATCGTAACCTAAGCTGCTACGTTCACCGCTAACTTTCTTTACATTCAGAACTAGGTTTGGTTAGGATAGGCTGAAGAATGGTTTGGTTAGGATAGGCTGAAGAATGGTTTGGTTAGGATAGGTTGTATAGACTGGGTCAGAGGGGGTCAGAACAGGTTAAGTTATGTATGGTCAGGAAAGGTTCAGGTATGAAAGATTAATTCAGAATAGGCTAAGTTGGGTCAGGACAAGTTAAACTTGTCCAGAATACACTGACCATGCTATACTGTTGCGTTATCCTGTATCTTGAGAGTCCACCATCCCCATGTTGATCCTCCATCAAATTTAGATGTACTCGGAAAGTACATATACGATATGCTCTTTGGTTTAGACAGTACATCTACGACTTGTCCCCCTGCTTTAGACAGTACATCTACAACCTGTCCCCCTGCTTTAGACAGTACATCTACAACCTGTCCCCCTGCTTTAGACAGTACATCTACGACCTATCCCCCTGATTTAGACAGTACATCTACAACCTGTCCCCTTTTATGAAACGATCCTCACAGGAAATTTCTTGTCTGTTTGTTTGTTATATTTGACATGTTTGACATGAAAACAATTGAGGGCACAATTGATATACAAGAACGGTACACGAGACATATAACAAAGCAGACGCCTAATACACACTCTACTCTTGAGCAGCCTAACGCAGCGTGACCGGGGGATCCAGGAACGATATTTGGTTTGGGAAACTGACTGAGAAACTCAAGCGAGCGTAGAGTCGGGGAGACTCAGTTCGTACTAACGTTACTGCTGGAGCGTAGCATATGATTCACAAGTGTGTATCCTTGGCGCAGGCGGCAAGGCTGCCGACTTGTAAACCTGTAGTTGATTCAATAAGCAATGTTAACTAAATTCGTCGACCTGCAGTTGACGCAATAGGTAAAGTTACTAAATTCGTCGACCTGCAGTTGATGCAATGGGTAAAGTTACTAAATTCGTCGACCTGCAGTTGACGCAATGGGTAAAGTTACTAAATTCGTCGACCTGTAGTTGACGCAAGAAACAAGGTTACTACACACGTCAGCCTGTAGTTGACGCAACCTGTAGTTGACGCAAGAGACACGGTTACGACACACGTCGACCTGTAGTTGACGCAAGTTGAATGATTCCTCATTCGAATCACAATGACTCCAAAAAAAAATCTACCACTAACGGGCTATTCATGCCCGTGCCACCTCTTGGGTGGCTTAATCTTCATCTATCAATCAATCACCTCATTCAACCTGTATTTAGTGAAAGAAGCAAGATTACCACACTCGACCTGTAGTTAACGCAATATTACCCAAATAATCGCCTTATGGCTGAATTTGTATTGGCGAAAATGCAAGTATGAGTCAATGAGTCGATAACTGTTGGTTACAACTGTTTGGTAATTTCCCTGCTGCGGGAAGCACACGTATTATTTGTATCTTAGTTTGGGACTTAGCAAAATCACCAGGATGTCATTGGCTATTTCCAGCTCTTTCCAAATTGCCAAATTACAAAAAATGCGCAAATCATGTTAATCTGCTGGTTATATATATATATATATATATATATATATATATATATATATATATATATATATATATATATATATATATATAACTGAATTTGCATACATGTATCTTGTGGTTCTTCTTATCATTAACTCGAAGAGCGTCTCTAGAATCCGCATTCTACCCTAAAATATAGCTGCAGGTCAGTATTGAAATAGCTCTGGTAGAGTTTCTGTAGAAATCTGTCAATCATAATAGCTTTCTTGATCACGAAGGTGGAAATACCGGTGCTGAGGATCTGCGCTCCGTCTCCTTCACACTCCCAATATTGGCTCCAAGTCGTACTGTCGTTGTTGTTGTTGTTTAAGATTCAGCTACTGGGACCAAAACGTTCCAAGTAGCACGGGCTATGGTGAGCCCGTAGTGGACTTACCTGGCACAGGAGATGTGCTGTAGGGTCGTACTGTCTCCTCCTCCCGTCTTATTCACGAACATGTGTAACACATCTGAAGGTCGGTGGGTAAGAGGTCGTTCAGCCTTGCTTCTAAAATTCGTCTCTATTTGGGGAGGTAGAAGGAGGGGATGGATGGAGAGAGGGAGAAAGGCTGGGACGAAGGATAGGTAATGGAGGAAAGGAGGCAGGACAACTTTTCTATAGCTTCCTTTATTTTTCTTTTCTTTATCTCTCCGTCCCTCCATTTACTATCTTCGGTCGTTTCCTTATTTTTCTCTTCTGTTTCCATGAGATGGAACTCAAACGTGGTTCTGTTCCATGACATGAAGCCTCGGAGGCGTTTAATTGCCGTAAGATGAAGCCTCAAAGTGATTCAGTGTTCACGAGAGGAAAACTCAAAGAGTGGTTCTATGTAATCTGATTTTTGTTGCATTCACGACCGGTGAGTCTCGGGAGTCGTGAGGTCCCGTCGTGTTATCATGAAGAACGGTTCCCTGTTTTTGTCGCGTGAGGGTGTTGAGGGCGTCTGTCTGCTGGCTGACTCACGCCCTCACAGTTGTATTTGTTCTCTCCTCACCCATCCTCACCGCCACAGGAATAATTAGGCACCTTTTTACGGTTGGGATCGAGCGGTGGATAGGGAAGGGTCGACCGGGCACTGTTCCTTAACTATTCTCCTTTATTCACTAAGGAGTAATTGGATATCTGATTGTAAATCGCTTGGCAGGTCGTGTTCCAGCTAAAATTAGCAGGGTAACGCTTAATTATCAGTTTCGAGATGAGAAAGTGCTAAGCCTACTAAAAGGAGTCAACTGCTTCGTTGGCGAATTTTGTTCGAACCACAGCGCTGTAAATGCTTCACCCACGTACTACAAATACAAATAATCGCCAACAGAACCTAAACACCTAACCTAACCAATGCGTAAATATTCCCAGTATGCTAATATGGAACAATATTAATTTATATTTGAAAAAATCCTATTTTGAATGAACAGTATGTTAAAATTGATGAATGCCTACTTGGGGTCGACCGCTGGATGGAATGGACATAGACTGAGACATAGACAGTGACAGCCAAGATATCACAAATCCTCTGAGAAGGAGACAGCAGATAGGGATATCCTTGGAAGTTATACGATTCACATAACAACAATATACTTAACATACTACCTACACTCAACGTTAAGGAACTGACCTTGAATTATCTCCTGTACTCCAAGCTGAAGGTCTGCTTGTTCAAGTTTGGCAAAAGCATTACGCAGCTGGCACGCCCTCCTTGAACTGGAATCATCAATTAGGCTACGTAACAGTGAATATATATATCCAACAGTGCCTATTCAGTTGCCATAAGAAGCTTGTATGTTGAGCCCCCTGGACGGGTAAGAGGACCACTATCAACGGTGTTGCGGTCTCCTGGTAGAATGGTGTTGCGGTCTCCTGGTAGAATGGTGTTGAGGCTTCCTGGATGAATGTGTTGCGCTGGAACACGACTGAGATGTGCAGGTGGCTGCTGATCCCTTTCTTTACTTTACCCCTATAGAGGCGTGCATCCCTCTCCCTAGACTCCCAATCCCACTCCAGTTCTAACCATTCCTTCCCTCCCACCACAGACGGGAATCCCTTTCCCTCCGCCAGGAGTCGAGGACGACCTCCCTCGCTCCCCTCCCAGCCCAGCGTGGACTAATTTTGTCTTCGTAAAGCAACAAAAACACCCTCCTGGGGACACAAACACCCGCGATCGCGTGACAAAAACAGGTATCCGGGGGACAAGAAGACACCTGGGGCGGGTATCCACGCTCCAGAAACACATATGGCCGCTCTCTGGAGTGATCACTGGGTCCCCCAGGACCCCCTTGCTCTAGGTGTATACAGGCGCCTCAAGAACACTTAGGATCCTGTATATAAGTAATAAGTAAGTCAGGAAATTACTGATTATTATAACCCCAAATATTACTTGATATACACAGCGGAGGCACGAAGGTAGGCTTAGCGGCAGCGTTCAACCACGAGGACACAAGCATCAACCACGAGGACACAAGCATCAACCACGAGGACACAAGCATCAACCACGAGGACACAAGCATCAACCACGAGGACACAAGCATCAACCACGAGGACACAAGCATCAACCACGAGGACACAAGCATCAATTACGAGGACACAAGCATCAACCACGAGGACACAGGCATCAACCACGAGGACACAAGCATCAACCACGAGGACACAAGCATCAACCACGAGGACACAAGCATCAACCACGAGGACACAAGCATCAACCACGAGGACACAAGCATCAACCACGAGGACACAAGCATCAACCGCGAGGACACAAGCATCAACCACGAGGACACAAGCATCAACCACGAGGACACAAGCAACAACCACGAGGACACAAGCATCAACCACGAGGACACAAGCAACAACCACGAGGACACAAGCATCAACCACGAGGACACAAGCATCAACCACGAGGACACAAGCAACAACCACGAGGACACAAGCATCAACCACGAGGACACAAGCAACAACCACGAGGACACAAGCATCAACCACGAGGACACAAGCATCAACCACGAGGACACAAGCAACAACCACGAGGACACAAGCATCAACCACGAGGACACAAGCACCAACCACGAGGACACAAGCATCAACCACGAGGACACAAGCATCAACCACGAGGACACAAGCATCAACCACGAGGACACAAGCATCAACCACGAGGACACAAGCATCAACCACGAGGACACAAGCATCAACCACGAGGACACAGGCACCAACCACGAGGACACAAGCATCAACCACGAGGACACAGGCATCAACCACGAGGACACAAGCATCAACCACGAGGACACAGGCATCAACCACGAGGACACAAGCATCAACCACGAGGACACAGGCATCAACCACGAGGACACAAGCAACAACCACGAGGACACAAGCATCAACCACGAGGACACAAGCATCAACCACGAGGACACAAGCATCAACCACGAGGACACAAGCATCAACCACGAGGACACAAGCATCAACCACGAGGACACAAGCATCAACCGCGAGGACACAAGCATCAACCACGAGGACACAAGCATCAACCACGAGGACACAAGCATCAACCACGAGGACACAAGCAACAACCACGAGGACACAAGCATCAACCACGAGGACACAAGCATCAACCACGAGGACACAAGCATCAACCACGAGGACACAAGCATCAACCGCGAGGACACAAGCATCAACCACGAGGACACAAGCATCAACCACGAGGACACAAGCATCAACCACGAGGACACAAGCAACAACCACGAGGACACAAGCATCAACCACGAGGACACAAGCATCAACCACGAGGACACAAGCAACAACCACGAGGACACAAGCATCAACCACGAGGACACAAGCAACAACCACGAGGACACAAGCATCAACCACGAGGACACAAGCATCAACCACGAGGACACAAGCATCAACCACGAGGACACAAGCAACAACCACGAGGACACAAGCATCAACCACGAGGACACAAGCATCAACCACGAGGACACAAGCATCAACCACGAGGACACAGGCACCAACCACGAGGACACAAGCATCAACCACGAGGACACAGGCATCAACCACGAGGACACAAGCATCAACCACGAGGACACAGGCATCAACCACGAGGACACAAGCATCAACCACGAGGACACAGGCATCAACCACGAGGACACAAGCAACAACCACGAGGACACAAGCATCAACCACGAGGACACAGGCACCAACCACGAGGACACAGGCACCAACCACGAGGACACAGGCACCAACCACGAGGACACAGGCATCAACCACGAGGACACAAGCAACAACCACGAGGACACAAGCACCAACCACGAGGACACAAGCATCAACCACGAGGACACAGGCACCAACCACGAGGACACAGGCATCAACCACGAGGACACAAGCATCAACCACGAGGACACAAGCATCAACCACGAGGACACAGGCATCAACCACGAGGACACAGGCATCAACCACGAGGACACAAGCATCAACCACGAGGACACAAGCACCAACAAGCAGACACTCTTACCCTTTACTGCATCTCCCTGGCAGTAAGTACATCACGTACCTTACAGTCATCAACTTTAGAGGGGTCTGTGTGTGTACTTTTAGCCTGGCCAATACGACTTTGCAATTAGTGATGACCTTGGGAGTGGGGTCAAGAGGTCAACCCGTCCTCGACTAGTCTGGTCAATACGTTCTCTTCACCTGGCAAATGTTGTCTAGGAGTACAGTAACATGTAGAAGGGAGGCTACCGTAAACACTGTGGAGTAACATGGTTTACTCTTAAATTTAAATTAAATTAATACCAATAGCAATTCCTCCGAGTTTCTGAATGAGACATAATACAATATTTTCATATATACAGGATATCCATTTTAGTACTGGGTGAGTACCGTGACCGTGCCTGTGTATGCAGGAGGTCAGTGTTCACGCTCACCCTAGAATTGGAGCCCTTAATGATCACCTAATGATCTTAACGATCATTTATATTCATGGCATATCTCCTGACATGTGATCTGACACTAATAACAGTTATAAATATTACAATGATGTCATGGACTCGATGCCTCAAAAGACATGATGGTTTCTCATACCTTCAATAATATACAAGATGGCTACCAGGAGGTCACATGTGTCTCACTTATGATAAGTTTTAAGTGAACAAATCCACAAGGGCCGTGACGAGGGTTCGAACCTACGTCTGAGAGCATCCCAGACGCTGCCTTAATCGACTGAGCTACGATAAGGCAGCGTCTGGGATCCTCTCGGACGTAGGTTCGAATCCTCGTCATGGCCCTTGTGGATTTGTTCATTTGATGCATCACGCTATTGTGATTTCTATGTGTAAGTTTTAAGCCTCTGCCTAAGTCCTGACGCCCGACGCCGGCTTAGCCTGCTGCGCTCACGACCTTGCTTCACCAAGAAAATGTTTCCTACGTCACTTGCCTGTGACGGAAATAGAAGAACTGTGACGGCTTCGGTAGACCCGTGTCGAACCCCTGCTCTCTGTCCTCCCCAGGGTTGCCTCTCCTGGTTTGTGTGGCCATGATTGCCTCTCAACTAGCTTCTATGTTGCCATGGTTCTCTGCTGGGCTAATTTGCAGATCACAAGCATGTAGAACAGCAGCTTGTAGATCACCAGCTTGTAGATCACCAGCTAATTGACGCACGAGACTAACAGAGACTACGATGATTTTCACGGTTCGTGCTATTCCCTGAAGCACTTCAATTTGCTCGAGTTTACTGTTTTGTGAATCATTGATTTTAACGTTAATTTTTCTCTCACTTCCTGTCGTCATGTCATTGACCCTTCCTACAGGATGAACTGGAAGGCGTCTCCCGCGAAGAACTCGAACTTGAAGACGTTTCCCGTGAAGAACTCGAACTTGAAGGCGTCTCCCGCGAAGAACTAGAACTTGAAGGCGTCTCCCGCGAAGAACTCAAACTTGAAGGCGTCTCCCGCGAAGAACTGGAACTTGAAGGCGTCTCCCGCGAAGAACTGGAACTTGAAGGCGTCTCCCGCGAAGAACTAGAACTTGAAGGCGTCTCCCGCGAAGAACTAGAACTTGAAGGCGTCTCCCGCGAAAATCTTGCTCATCATTGGAACAATAGTCAGAGATGCTTGGACAAAAATAAAAAATTCAACTATTTCTAAATAATCGAAGACAGTTTTATGATTTTAAAGACTTCTGTTTAAAGATAACACTTTGAAGAGAATTTAAATTGGAAGAAACAACTCAAGTTATACTGGACACTTGTTGAACATTTATAACAGTAGATTATAGATAAATTTAAATTCATCATGATTCCACGAGCGGTGAGAGGCGTTGTGGTCCAAACATCACCTTCGTCCAAGAGTATTATTAAACTTTACATGAATAACTGAAACCTATTAGCAAAAATGTATTAGAGAGATGCTTGGACAATGAGAGATGAATCGACTTGAGAATGGTCCAGGATGGACCGAAACGTCGTCGTCCCTTCACCTTCTAGTGTGTGGTCTGGTCAACATACTTCAGCCACGTTATTGTGACTCATCGCCTGCATGTATTAGAAATTGAAAGTCATTCATTTCTTGGCATGGTTCCACATGGCTTATTGGACATGACCTAGATCTCACTGAGAAGCTGTGGTACTCTTACTATGACTGAAGATGTCTGATACTCTCTCAGTATGAAGCTGTCTGATACTCTCTCAGTATGAAGCTGTCTGATACTCTCTCAGTATGAAGCTGTCAGATACTCTCTCAGTATGAAGCTGTCTGATACTCTTTCAGCATAAAGCTGTCTGATACTGTCTCAGTATAAAGCTGTCTGATACTGTATCAGTATAAAGCTGTCTGATACTCTCTCAGTATGAACCTGTCTGGTACTATATCACTAGAACTGATTAACGTCAATCAAAATCCCCCAAAATAGACCAAATATTATCCATGACATATTATTCCACATAAAAGGCTCAAAAACATACGTCCATCAAAGTGCGGAAATAACAGACGCGAATGACCTATAAGATAAAACTGCAACAGGGAGGCTTCATTCGGAACACTGCACCAATTTGCTTCAGTCAGAACACAAGCTTCCGTATTGCATCTTTCACCGTGTGGTGTGAAGAAGTGGAGGCGGAGGGGAGGGAGTTAGGGGAACGGGTTGTCAGCCAACGCAGTGTAACAACGACTGACTTTTGCTTCCAAGGCCACAGTCGGAGTGCCCGTGACTGCAGTTCCCACTCTAGACGCTCCACATAATGTAATGAGTGGGAGTTTTTCAGGGTGGGCGTTTACCTCGTTAGCGGAAGCGGTGGTGATGTTGGGGTGTGGTTCCCAGGATCACTATAGTTCCTCGTCCTCCACCTGTGTCTTTACCCGTGCCTGCCCTTCCTCATGGTCACGGCACTTGTCCATCTCACACCTGCCTCAGTATGGCTCGCTTAGATTGGTCGGGGCAGCCACGATCTCACTTCTTGCAAGGTCGGAGCTCGATCCTGAGGGTGCATTAAGAGAACTGGCCTGAAGCCATCGACTCACATATGTAATACAACGTGTTATTTGTACCACATTCCTGTCTGACACAGTACTCAGGCTTTCAAAGTCTTCAAGTGCTGAAATTAAGTCTCTGTGTTCTTCTCCATGAATCTGTTTTGTCTGCCCGTCCGTGACATTCATGAGTGTGTGAACTTTGTCCATCAATTTGTAACTTTCGTCTGCAGTGTTGGAGGGTGAATTAGTAATACTTTGGATGTGTTTACACCCGAGTGTCTGCGGTGAGAGCATCCTTGTAGAGGTGGGAAACTCTACCACATCATTACAGGCATTTGCGGTTCTCGTGGTTTTGCAAGTCACAGTATTCCATTTCCTCGTAGTTTTTGGGACACCAATTGACGACCAAACGCTTACACGCAACAAGTGTGTTTGTCTATACTGGCTTGTGTGTGTTGGCGTGGGGGGGATAAATGTGTTCCAGTCCGTCAGTTATTGTGTCTTACAATTACCAGTTATTATTTACATTTACACTTATAATATGTTAGGCTGCGTGTTTATACGTCTTAAGTAAATAAATACTTGGTATATGCGTGCTTGCATATCTTATCAGAAAAGGCGGCAAGATTAGTATTTACGAGGAGCATGTTGACGTGCACGCATACGAATGACGCATGTCCACGCGTGTCCACGGGTACAAGCCACCCAAAAGGTGGCACGGGCATGAATAGCCCCCCATCGATACGTGGTAATGGCCGCGTGTTGTTATAATGTGTCGGTGGGGGATTAGCCGCAGCTCTTGCGCCCCGCCTCGTGTTTCTTGTTTGTTCGTGCGTGTGTACGTGTATAATTATAATTATTTTCGTTATATTCTGATGGGTGCATACGTGTGTACTCACCTAATTGTGCTTGCGGGGGTTGCTGGCTCTTTGGTCTCACCTCTCAACTGTCAATCAATTGATTTTTTTCACACACACACACACACACACACACACACACACACACACACACACACACACACACACACACACACACACACACACACACAAGCGGAAAGGCCCTAGTATGGGTGAAGAACTACCTAACAGGAAGGAGCCAGAGGGTAATGGTAAGGGGCGAAAAGTCGGACTGGCGAACAGTAACAAGTGGAGTACCTCAAGGATCGGTGCTGGGACCAATCCTCTTTCTAATTTACGTAAATGATATGTTTACAGGAGTGGAATCATACATGTCAATGTTTGCAGATGACGCAAAATTAATGAGAAGAGTTGTGACAGACGAGGATTGTAGGATCCTCCAGGAGGACTTAAACAGGCTGCAGAGATGGTCAGGGAAATGGCTACTGGAGTTTAACACCAGTAAATGTAAAGTTATGGAAATGGGATCAGGTGACAGGAGACCAAAGGGACAGTACACAATGAAGGGGAACAGCCTACCTGTAACGATTCGAGAAAGAGACCTGGGAGTGGATGTGACACCTAATCTAACTCCTGAGGCACATATAAATAGGATAACGACAGCAGCGTACTCTACACTGGCGAAAATTAGAACTTCATTCAGAAACCTAAATGAGGAAGCTTTTAGGGCGCTTTACACTGCCTACGAGAGACCCGTCTTAGAGTATGCCGCGCCATCATGGAGCCCCCACCTGAAGAAACACATAAAGAAACTGGAGAAGGTTCAGAGGTTTGCGACGAGGCTTGTCCCAGAGCTACGAGGGATGGGATATGAAGAGCGGCTGAAGGAACTGAACCTTACGACACTAGAGAAAAGAAGGGAGAAAGGAGATATGATAGGGACATATAAAATACTCAGGGGAATTGACAAAGTGGAAATAGATGAAATGTTCACACGTAATAATAACAGAACGAGGGGACATGGGTGGAAACTGGAAACTCAGATGAGTCACAGAGATGTTAGGAAGTTTTCTTTTAGCGTGAGAGTAGTAGAGAAATGGAATGCACTTGGGGAACAGGTTGTGGAAGCAAATACTATTCATACTTTTAAAACTAGGTATGATAGGGAAATGGGACAGGAGTCATTGCTGTAAACAACCGATAGCTAGAAAGGCGGGATCCAAGAGTCAATGCTCGATCCTGCAAGCACATATAGGTGAGTATATAGGTGAGTACACACACACACACACACACACACACACACACACACACACACACACACACACACACACACACACACACACAGGAAGCAGCCCGTAACAGCTGTCTAACTTCCAGGTACCTATTTACTGTTAGGTGAACAGGGGAATCAGGGTGAAAGACACTGCCCATTTGTTCCCCCGCCGCCGGGGATCGAACACGAACCCCTTAGGACTACGAATCCTGAGCGCTGTCCACTCCCAGAGGTGCGTGTGTGTGTGTATGTACTCACCTATTTGTGCTTGCGGGGGCTGAGCTTTGGCTCTTTGGTCCCGCCTCTCAACTGTCAATCAACTGCTGTACAGATTCCTGAGCCTACTGGGCTCTATCATATCTACACTTGAAACTGTGTATGGAGTCAGCCTCCACCACAACACTACTTAATGCATTCCACCTGTTAACTACTATGACACTGAAAAAGTTCCTTCTAACGTTCCTGTGGCTCATGTGGGTACTCAGTTTCCACCTGTGTCCCCTTGTTCGCGTCCCACCAGTGTTGAATAGTTTATCCTTGTTTACCCGGTCGATTCTCCTGAGGATTTTGTAGGTTGTGATCATGTCTCCCCTTACTCTTCTGTCTTCCAGTGTCGTAAGGTCCATTTCTCGCAGCCTTTCCTCGTAACTCATGCCTCTTAGTTCTGGGACTAGTCTAGTGGCATACCTTTGGACCTTTTCCAGCTTCGTCTTGTGCTTGACAAGGTACAAGCTCCATGCTGGGGCCGCATACTCCAGGATTGGTCTTACATATGTGGTGTACAAGATTCTGAATGATTCCTTACACAGGTTCCTGAACGCTGTTCTGATGTTAGCCAGCCTCGCATATGCCGCAGACGTTATTCTCTTTATGTGGGCTTCAGGAGACAGGTTTGGTGTGATATCAACTCCTAGATCTTTCTCTCTGTCTGTTTCATTAAGTACTTCATCTCCTATTCTGTATCCTGTGTCTGGCCTCCTGTTTCCACTGCCTAGTTTCATTACTTTGCATTTACTCGGGTTGAACTTCAACAGCCATTTGTTGGACCATTCACTCAGTCTATCTAGGTCATTTTGTACCCTCCTACTATCATCCTCTGTTTCAATCCTCCTCATAATTTTTGCATCATCGGCAAACATTGTGAGAAACGATTCTATACCCTCTGGGATAGAATCGCATGTGTGTGTGTGTGTGTGTGTGTGTGTGTGTGTGTGTGTGTGTGTGTGTGTGTGTGTGTGTGTGTGTGTGTGTGTGTGTAGCCTTCCCTCACACGAATAAATGAGTACGCAAGCATGTTCACACAGCGTTTTTATTCACACACGATACACATAAGTGCATGCGCCACGCACACGCGCACGCATACGCATACACACCCGAATAGCAGTCGAGTGTATGTGTGTCACTACAGCAGAGAGTCGGAAGGCACATCCACACTCCCGACCTTTCCAAGATATTCGAATCCTCAGTGACCCGGAAAAATGTTCCCCCTTCCCTTCGAGGCCTAATTTTCACGCAATTCAAATACAAAACAAAACAAACAAAAATAA